TTCAATGTTAAAATCATTAACAACAACCCATTTTTGTGTTCCTACTCATGGACATGCTAATTACTATTTTATCAAAAACTTTATCAATACTTTTTTTTTTTTTAAAGTTAATCAGCTAAACAGTCTCTCAATCAGTTAAATACACATGTAAACCTAGTCAAGTCAGAGAGAGAGTAAAAGAGTGCAGAGTCAGGCTGTGTTCAGCAATGATCTGGCAGAACAGAAAGTCTCTAGCTTCTTGTATGATAATATTTGCTAATGCGTCCTCATGACTCAACTGTTGTGTTGTTTGAGTACATATTTAAGGCACACAGAAATTAAACTCTCATCTGATGATGTGGTAATAAGAGCACCACATTTTTGGTATTTGTGGAAAAAGAAGCTTTTTGATGGCTTGCCTTGTTTCTCACATGTAGTGATATCTGTTTTGTTTTTTTGCCAAATTATTGATGATTAAGGGAAAAACCCTATTAGACTAGATTTTCTGAACCCCAGCCTTATATGGCCATGTACTTCCAGAGACCAGAGATTTAGATTGGGCATTTGAATTCCATCTGATAATTTTTTTATTCATACCTTGATCTACTGCTTCGTGTTTCCTGTCTAGTCATGCACTTACATGTCTAGACAGGAAACAAGAAGTAGCAGATCAAGGTATGAATAAAAAATTGCTGTGGTTAAATAAGTAATGTTGGTCTTTATTCTATTGTAATTAATGTATTGTCTTAATTATGTTGTTCTCTGTCAGAACTATGTTTAGTAAGAGTTGGACCAACAGTGAATTCCACCAGCTTGGCTGTCTGAATCTATGAATCTGAATCTAATAGAGCAGTTACATTACAATGAACAATAAAAACTAAAATCTATTTTGTATACATGAAACTTATTAATAAGAGAAGTCCAGAGTTGCTATTGCCATTTGACTATACATTTGATTTCAATTACACAAGTTATTACATAGTGTGTTATATAATTAAATATTAAATTTACATTTCATTTACATTCTATATTCACAGGCTTGGCAGGATCTTTTTTTTTTTGACAAACATTGCAAACACGTGAAGAATGTTTCCCTCTAGCAAAACAAGACTATATGCATAACTTTTCATCAAATTCAAATGAGAAAATCTATTGAAAGTTTAGAATCTGTACTTTCTCATATGAGCAAGTAATAATTAATCTAAAAGTAAGGAGAAGTGGCCTAAGCGGGTTCAATATGCAGTTTTTAGGCCAGTAGTGAATGTTCCTGAGCTCAGACAGGTTTAAAAACAAAACTGTAAATGTATAGCCATATGTCAATGTTCTGTTTGATGATGAACAAATAACTGTACATGATATGTACTTGCATGGTACACTCTCGGAAAAAAGGTACCAAACTGTCACTGGGGTGGTACTCTTCTTCAGTACCTTTAGTAAGGGAACATAACTGACTCCACACACCCTCTCTGGTCTCTAGCCTTTTTATTTTATTGGTCTGTTTTGGAACGTCAGGTTATGAAAATGTGTTCTAAACTCTTTCAACATACCCATTTAGACCCTAAAACAAGTGTTGTATGTTTTCAGGTACATTTACATTCTTTGTAACTTAATGAATGAAAAACATACCTGAACAGTACCTTTTTTTCTGACATTGTATAATAAAACCTATAATCTGTCCTAAAAGCACATTTATCAGATCCGGACATGCAGAGTGTGGAAAAAAGAGCAAACAACAGTTAACAGGTGATGTACTCTATTGATTGCTACCACTAATAAGGCATTACAGAAAATGAAACAATTTCAAATACAGACTACAATATTGACCATCTGAGAGAAAGCAAAGTGGGTTAAAAGGCATCCTCAGAATAGCCTAATCAGATGATACATTATACCATATTACTTTTTGTTCAGTACTCTAAGACCCAATTTCTGTTCTCTGATTAAAGCAGGTAACTGGCACAAATGTAGCCAGAAGGACTGAAGGAGGGGAGAGAACTCTGAGAACATGGGTTGGAGGTTTGGGTGGCCTAGGGTGGAACAGAGATAGAAGTGTAGAACAGGGAGGAGATGGGGTGGTGGTGGGGTGCAAAAACTTTGTTAATGGAAATGGATTGTGGAGATGGGAAATTTATAGAGAATTAGATTGGAAGGATGAAGAGCTTCAGGCATGCACCACCTTCTAAACTTCAGTTATTTCATAAAGCTACAGTATAACTGAGATGTGCAGTTATTTGAAAGGCACTGTATTTTACAGTATTTCAACTCTGTGTAGTAATTTACTGCCAACTGAGATGCATTACCATTACAGTTTAGATGTAAAAATACAGGAGAACTTCAAAAAAGTAAGTTATTAGGCTGCCTTAAAATTTTGAACTGAACTTCTAATAAGTGAACATAACAAGAATCTGTCTTATGCTCTGTAAACTTATTTGAAGTTCAACTGATTTAACTTTTTAAGGCAAAAGTTAAAACAATTTTTTATAGCCTATAGGAGCAAAATGCTACATATCACAGTACATATTCACAGCATACAGTTCTTGTTTTATTGTTACTGAAATAATGTTAGTACTAGCAGCTATCAATTTACTGGAATTTTAGTTGAGTATTTTAGTGTATATTTCAAAATGTTTTAGACAGACACATACTGTATTGAGTTAATAAAAATAAGGTTTATACTGTCAATGTCAGAACAAAACCTTGTATCTTCAAAATGCTAATTTTACAGGTAAAGGAGAAAACTTTTCCATTTTTTAATGTAAGTTAATATAAGAAGATTTCTTTAGTAATATTAGACCATTTCTATTGCACCATTCTTCATTTTGGCTACATTCACATTGCTCAGTCCTGATTTTTTGCTCAGATCAAATCTTTCTAACTCATTTACATTCAAGTAGGTAAGTGACCCAGATCTGTCATTAATGTGAATGAAACTGCATCCTGAAACGACTCACATGTGCACGTCCTAAACAATAATGGCACATGAACAAACCATGTTCGTAATGAACAGCAAACAAACCAACCAGCAGAACAAGCCTTCATCCCCAAAATAATTGGCTCTGAACCCCTCTCAGCTGCTCATTATGAAAGTAAGACAAAGGCGGAAAAGGGTCAGATACCTTGCTTTTGTGTTGTTTACTGGCACTGACACTGCTGTCACATTAACACTGCATGAGCAGTGAAAAAACACAGCAATTCTGATCTTAAGACCAAATTGGACATGCATCTGATCTAGGACCACATATGAAAAGATCAGATTTGTGTGTTCACACAGCTCTGAAAACACCAGATATGTGACTAGATTTGTGGCACTTCAACCTGGTAACATGACAAATTATAAGGAGCAGCTGCCATTTTCAAATCATGTTAAAAAAACAAAAACAAAATAGTGATAAGTTTTGTTCAGATAGTGGTGATATATTGCTTTAAAGTACGATTTCAGTTATTTCAGTATATGATTTCCTTCATCCACTCCCTGTTCCAGTGCCAGTGTGCATGGCCTGGTCGTAATGTTCACCTACCAGTGGATACTTTAATGAATGCAAGTGACGAAGCTAAATGGAGATGAATAGTGCCTGGGTGACTTCAGCTGACATTTATTGCCTCCTGGCAGTCACGCCATTAGCAAATTAGCTTCATTCAAGGGCCGGGCTGGACGACTCCAATAGAGAGAGAGAGAACTTGATAAATATCACTGGGGCGCAGCGAGACATTCAGATGAATTAGAAGCAAAGGTAATGAGCAATGTGAACAAGGGTCTCTCTCTCTCTCTCTCTCTCTCTGTCTCTGTGTTGCTGAGAGGAGAGTATACACCATGATGTGTTTTGTTGATGTGTGATGAAGGCAAGGAGGAATTATTTTAAGTTTTACAGATCACTGCAATGTCAGAACGTTCATGGGCATGCTGTTCTCAATTAGTGAAAATAACCTTTTGGTATGCCTTTGGCTAGATTTAGCAACAAAGGTCGTTCTTTCTTGTCTGTGCTATACCTTTTAACTGTCTTATGCCATACATTTTGCTGCTGCCAGAGTTTGTTCACTGTCAAACTGATATATTTTTCCTTAAGACGTTCCATCAAAAGAGTAAAACATTAGATAGTTCATAATGTGGTATCATCATTCAAGGTTGAACAGTAGATATGCAATAACTTGAAACATTTCATCAGCTTTGGCATTTTTAAACCTCATGCTGGGTGAATATGCCTCTTAAATATTATGAGAGAGGAATAGCCTGAGGTTTTGCCTCTCTGAAACAGAAAAGAGAAATATGCGAGGCTAAAAAGCTAAAAACAGTGCTAATTTAGCCTAATGTCTAGCCTAGTTTCAGACTATTGAGGCAGGAACAGCTTATACTGCCATTTGGCAGATCCTCCAGCTATTGCCTTCTATTTTGCAGCTAACTGTTCAAAGAACAACAAGCAAGCGAGAGAAAATCACACGACGCAATTGACTTCACAGAGAATAATCACCTTTGGGAAGAAAGATGGAATCAAAAGAGCAGTAAATGTCTTAAGTCCATGGAGCACAGGCAAATTACAAGTCATTGTTTCATCTTTATACGAGCCTGCACAATCTGTGGCCTCCAACAGACTGACCCTGGTCTGTTCTGGGCTGATGAAAATCCACGCTTCTGAATCTATTTCCACGTCTCATATTCCGCACCTACTTTCCAGTTTTATCTTGACAAATGTTATCTGTGTTTGTAGTGAAGCCTTAATTACATGTTCTCTCGCCACACTTTCTGCATCAGAGGATCAACTTATCTCTCCTCCAGCTTTGGTTTCAAACTCACCATTAAATACTGCAACCAACAGCACTTTTCCCCTGTTTCCTTGTAACACACAAAAATAAAGGTAAACTGGGCCACGATGAGTTATGGGTGTGGGTAGATGTTTGTGTGTGCGCGTGTGCCCATATTTGTGCTTGTGTCTTCAGTGGTTGATTGAAAGACTGAGGTATACAACAGAATAATAACAGCTCTGTAAGCCACCATTAGTAGCTTAAACAGTATGAAAATAACTCACCATATACAAACAGCACATATTCATCGCTGTTGGTCCCAATATGGTTGCTGGCCTCGCATCGATATGTGCCATTGTCTGTTTTGTTGAGGGTTGTGATGATTAATTCTCTGCCCTCCACGATCATTCGTTCAACATCAGGAAGTTCTCCGCCGTCTTTTGTCCATAACACTGGCTCAGGCCTGTATATAACAAGCATGTGAACATTTAGCTCCAGCCTTTGCAGCAAACTTCTTTCATGGATAAGAACTTCTTAATAGGTATTTATGTCATTTTTTGTTTGTAGAGATGCACAGATCTAATGTATTGGACAGCTGCACCAATACTGGCCTTTTCCATTCTGTACGTTCAACACTGTTTTTGGGTCATGGTCATATAAAATAACAGCGCATTATCCAGTAGCCTATTTTGTCATACATAATTATTTTTTTTAGTTAAAATGTAACTGTTAGAATGTGATAGTTACAGTCTGATGTTACACAGAAGAATGATCCCCAGCAATTCCATACACTACGATAGACAGATTTTGAATATCAGATCGATACTTGGTATTGGCTGATATCCTGATTTTACATAATTGGTATTGGAAGGAAACAAGTGAGAATGGAGCATGACTAATCATTTAGTAAAATCTTTCATAATATGCTCAACAAAAGTGCAAGTTATGGCTCTGTCAGGTGCCACTTGTTCTCTGAACTCAGCAGGCAGAAAAATCTGAATGGGTTTTCTTTGTCATTTCCACAGACTGTGAAGAAACACCCCGAATTTTAATGAAGGGACAAATAGGTAGGCCTATTTTCTATTTACAGTACAGTTTGAAAGTCATAGACCAGCCTTCAGTTATTTAATTTCTATTTATAACAGCCATTTTGTGTCAGTTATTAATTTTCCAGGAGATATTTCTGAGGAGATTAGATGTAAAATAATCCACTTGCATAAGGATTGAGAGTCAAAGGAAGATCAGTGAGAAAAAAAACAGCAGTTCTCAAAAATGGAGTTGAAAAATTATCACAATTTTTAATGGAGCTCCCTCAAAACACCCGGTAGACCACCAGACTGTCACCATCAGATAAACAGGACCTAAAGCTTTCATCTTTGAGAGAAATAACATAGAAATAGACTGTTTAGACCTCAACATCACTGAATGTGTTTGGGATTACCTGAATTATTAGAAGCAGAAAATGCAACCAACTTCTAAGACTGAACTTTGGAAGTGTGTAAAAATATCCCTGCAGATTTATTTGAAAAACTGAAAGCAAGTCTCCTGAAAAGAACGAAAGCTGTAATAGACAAAGTGTGGATGCACTGAAAAATTATATTATATTTAGTTGTTGAGGTTTCTGTGTAATTTTCTGCCTTTTTTCCTGATGCTGAAAAAATGAATAAGAATGACTGAGAATCTCACTGACCATTTTGACTGGAAATTAAATAAATGAAGCGTGGTCTCTGACTTTTGCTGAGTTCTACGAATTTGTTCTATGAACTGCTGGTGCTGCCGAACATTAAAACTATGGCTAACAGCAGACAGCCCTTATTTCACTTTTCCAATCAGCATCAACCTTCAAAAATGTATGTATTTATGACTTTTTATCTTTGTGTTAAAGGATTGGTTCAATTTCATTACTAAAGCCTCTGCAAAAGTTATAGTCTTCCACTTTATTATCAGTCTGTGGGGGAGCTGTTATTGAACTCCAGCTCGGAAAGGTCACAGAATTCAACTTACCTGCTAACTATGTCTCTCTGTAATTACGTGACACGCTAAAACTTTCCTAAATATCAAGATCTGATTTAGCATTGTAGCTTCCTTTTTAATATAAAACAGTAAAGGTCTCCATTGTTATTTGTGTCTTTTGGCTCTTGTTCCTCTACTTGTTCTACTCCTTAAACTGAAAATTCAGGGTCAACAAATGAATTTCCTCTTAATTAGTGAAAAAGAGGAATTAGCGACTTACAATGGGTTGCCTTTGGATACACACTCCAGTTTGAAGTACTGTCCTTCTTGCGGCACAATTAAAGAGTGTACAATCTCTACTTGAGGTGCATCTGTGGTGAAAATGAGAGGTCAGTTGGTAAACAAGAATATAAATCTAGGCAATTAGGGAAATATAGACCGCAATGTACACCAAGAAGCATAATAGTTCCTTAACTCAGCACTATTGAGATTTTAACAGAATAAAGTGAAGGGCAATTTTCCTCAGAATGTAAGAAGAGAAACCAAAGATGATTCAAGTGTTTCAAACAAAACATCATTTGCCCTGCTAATTTCCATCTGGTGCCACATTTCATCTAATTGCTTTCTTAAGTAAACATGAATAAATCTTCTTTTGCAGCATAATGAACTATGGCACTGTTAAAACTGTTTTTTGGCATGAATTACCCTTTTGCTGCACATCTGAAAGCGTTACTCATCTAAATGCTAAGACTAAGCTCTGGGATGTGGGGGGCTACTTCGAGCTCAGCTGTACACTCAGTTACTCACAGTGGACCTCCAGCACCTCTGTGACTTGGTGAGGAGTTGAATTCAAAGTTATGTGCTCCACGCTGCAGGTGTATGCTGCTCCGTCATCATTTCTGTTTACCCGGAGGTGTACGGTGCTCCTCACTGTGAACGACCGGCCTGTGGCGTTCACCTCCTTCACACCTGCCATAAAAACACAGATGAAAATGCATTAGTTGTCTCATTAGTTTGTCCCAAAGGTCATTAGCAGTCTTTCTTTTGATCCTTAGCTTGGAATCCATATCGATTTCTCTACTGCAGTGATTCCCAATCCTGATCCTGGATTACTACTGGCCAGAATGTTCTAGTGCCTTTCCTTCTCTAACACACTCACTTCAAATGAAGAAGGGCTTATTAGTTGATCTATGCACACTTCACCCACAAATGCGTACTTCTAAAGCAACTGTTGCTACAGAATATTAGCATTAAACTAGTCCAAAAATCTACAAATGTACACTGTATTATTACTATTTTTTCCTGTTACATCTGATCTGTAGATTATCTTTACCCACAAGACACTGTGGCTGGTTACCCAACAAAAGCTGAATAGAATCAGCTAAGGCTGATGCAAAAATAGACCACTGCGTACGAGAGGAACCATTCAAATGAAAACCTGACACAGCTTAAATGCTGCACATGGTGAATGGCCATGGTTGTAATTTAGCTATGACTAACTTAGCTATTATTCTGATTCTGACTGATAGTTACTTAAATCTGCTTTAGTGGATTCATTCGTGACATAGTGGAATATATTACTTATTGGAAATGGAATTATCAAGCAAATCCACTAAGAACACAAATGAAACTGTTCTCTTTGGTCAAAACTTCACTCATGGTGTTCAACAGGAATGCCAAGGCTATCACAATAAACGTCCCATATAATTGTACTTGTAAGTTTATTTCATTTCATTAAAAACTAAAATATTTATAGAACACTCTATGTATTTGTACTACTACTACTACTAATAATAATAATAATATAATAATATAATAACTGTGGTTAAATGAGTGTGTATGTTAAGCTGTTAAAATTCCATCCATCCATCATCTAAACCGCTTATCCTTCTGGGTCGTGGTCGCCAGTCCATCGCAGGGCACTGTTAAAATTCATACTTGGAAAAAAATATGGGACTTTTCTCATATTTGCAATGTTAGGCAACACACACACACACACACACACAAACACACACATATTTTCTAAGCTGCTTATCCTTCTGGGTCACGGGGGAAGCTGGAGCCTCTCCCAACAGTCATTAGGTGGAGGTAGAAAACAAGAGGTAGCCCTGGAGACAGGTCACCAGTCCATCGCAAGCGGACAGACAGACACATACATTCACACACACACACACCTAGGGGCAATTTAGCGTATCCAATTGGCTAGACTTCATGTGGACCGTGGGAGGAAACCGGAGCTGTTAGGCAACACATTAAATGAAAAAACTATGCAGTTAAAATTCATACTCATACAAAAAAATGCCTTACCTACATTGTAGTGCACCCCCCCTGGTCATAACCCCCCCCCCACACACACACACATTGTTTTTGCTTGCAGTCTGCCTTGTTTCGTTCACATACAACAGCATAGTTCAGCAAAGTACCTTATCATTTTAAACTGGAAACTCAACATTATGCTGTGACTCCAAATAAAGTGTGCTACAGTTTCTCATTAGGTCGAATGGGATTTTTGCCAACATTCTGTAAAGGTTGTCCAACCTCACAACAGCTGCTATGTAAGAACATGTTTGTGGGTGGAGCATGGCTGGGTTAATTAGCTGATTAGTCAGATCAGGTGTTTGAGCACAGAACACACACAAACGTGCAGGGAAGGGGGCACTGCACTGCTGGAGACCATTGCTCTACTCCAATATTTCAATTCAGAAGCGCAACAGAGCGGTAACTTTTGCAATTCCACAAACCAACTGGGCCTCGGCCTAATACATTTCGAAGCTCCAGAGGAACATTTCTTATTTCCCTAGTTGAGCTGAAATTTATTCTTAAAGTTAGTGGAAATGAAAGAAAAAAGTTAGTGTAAGTGGAGAAAAAGAAAGCATTATTCAGAGAGCGTAAAGCACCACTGCCAATCCCCTACTCGTCAAGGGGCACTAGAACAGGACAATGATACAGAAGCAGTGTCCTGGGTTTACTCCAGAGACGCTCCTATCCACCAACCATGAAAGCCATGGCTCAGCAAAATCATGAACGGCTGAGCGAAAACAGCACCCTGGAGGATCTCCTCCAAACATTTCACTGCACACAGCACACACACAATACATGCATGGCCTGACCAGCTAATACGGATGAGGATCTCTCTCTCTCTCACTCTCTCTCTCTCACACTCACACACACACACACACACACTAGCTCCCACACCACAAAGGCAAATAAAAATCCCTGCTGTCCTTGAAATTGTCATCCAAAACTTGTCTTTGCCATATAACAAAATATTGATTTTATTGCTGTCTTTTTTTCCTCTACACTCTTGACATCTTTCCCATCTAGATAAGTGTCTGTAAACAAGAGGCGGCCAAGTTTGTCTGTGAGTGGGCAGTTTGCAGCATGGTGGGCACATCTATTGATTCACTGTCATAGAGTTAAAATTTCAGTTGCACTAAAATCACTGGCAGCTTCTCAAAAGCTGTCAATATGATTTTAAATGATAGTTGCATACTTTTGGAATGAATCACTTAATTTATTTAACCAGAAGTGTTGAAGTCTTTAAAGCAGTTTGCAGTTTAGAAATAGAAGGAAGCCCTGCTGAGAGAAGCTTAACGAATTAATGAACTTAAGGACTTAATGAATGGACAGTAAATTCAGCAGCAATTATATAGACATCCTGCTTATTAGAAGAAGGGATTTCATATTTTACTGTTATAAATTAAATATATTTTGTTCCATTATACATGAGCCACATTAAGTTGAACTATAAACTCTTAAAAAATATGGTTCTTCGAGGGTTCTTTAGTAAAGGGAATGGCTCTATTTAGAAGAGTGAGTTCTATACAGAACGACTTCATGCTTCAATGGTTCATGGGATTGATGGGGAATTTCTACCAAAAAAGATTCTGCAATTGTTATGATGTCAAGCTTGTAACAATAAAAAACCCTTTTTGTTGTTCTATAGAACCATTTACATTGAAGTCGTTTTTCAGGCTGCTTTTTGATTGCAGTATAATGCAGGACAGCCCATGTGAACAGAGATCATTTACATATATCAACAATCATTTACATATAGTAACAAAAACAGCCTGTTTAATTCTAAGGGATAAAGCGAGGGTTAATAGAGACTAGAAAACAGTCATGTAAATGTAAATTAAGATTGTTTTTGATATATAATACCACATAAAGGTTTCAATAGGTTTGAACTTACCCCTATTTACAGTGTGAAGAAATGGCAAAAACAGGACAAAAATGTGAAGAATGTTTGTTCTTTCCACAAAAAAAGGCTACATACACAAAATTAGCTTTTAATCACCTTTCTTCTTTTACTTCAACTCCGCTGAGGGTTTATAATCCACTCTTTTGACAGACTTTGATTCTCCTAATCTGAGAAGGTAACTGAAAGCTTTGGTTTTCTTATTCCTATAAAATTGATGTATGATTGTTATTGTCAGTATTGAGGCAGTCAAAGGCTCAGCTCCATCTCTCGCCTCCTTTCTGGATCCCCTCCTCCAACAGTATCATTGCTGTCATTCGAATGCCATCTTTACAAGTCACTGCATCCAACACTACTTTAAGGGATTGACCACTTTTTCAGAACTGTAAAAGTTCTACTGTATAAGGAACTGTTGCTATGAGATTATGCCTTCTATTGAGCTGCATGCATTTATAGAACCTACATCACTGTAACAGATTGTATTTATTCTGCAGTAAAATTAACAAACAGCTAGTCATGATCGTTATTTAAAACAATCCTAAATTTTGATGATGCACTAATTTTATACCATGTTGTTTACTCTACATACTGTGGAGCAACTGTGCAACAGAATGAAACAGAAGTTGTATGTTCACACTCTACCTCCACAACAGACCTCTTTCACACTTTCTATTTTAGGATTATTTCCTCAGAAGTTCTCCAAAATTGTCTTCCATTTTGATATCACCACCCACTTTTATGAGCCAGATCAGATGACAGACGAGAAATAGTCGATGACTTTCTTTTCACAGAGAAAGAAAAGAGATGCCTTGATGACTGATTCCACACAACTATTTTAATTAAGTACAGGCGCATCACCCTGCAGAAATAACTCGTATAATGAGCAAGTTAAAAACAGGCACAGCTGACATTAGAATGCAGCAAAACTGCTTATCTAAACAAGTATTCCTCCCCTTGGGACACAGCCTCTGGGGATCTATCCCAAGATGCATGAAAAGTTTCAAAAACTTGCGTGCATATCCTACATCAGAAGTTTGATAAAGGTCGGCACCTAAGATATCTAACTATGTGTCACAATCTACAGTACTTCAGTTCTCCAAACGTGTGCTTTCTCAATCCCTCTGTGTCCTATATATTCTAGTTGGGCTTTGACGCCAGTCCCACAGAGCAGATCCACTCCTCTACATGAGACCTGATCAGAGAGAGAGTTTCCTTTGAAAAGGATTGAGTGACAGAGAGGCAGGATGGAAAGCGGTGCAGCAGTGCAGTGCTGGCCTTTTACTGCATGCTACGTGAATGCCATCTCTGAGTCAGGGACATTATCTCAGTCTCAGGCCATCAATCACTCTGCTCTACCAGGACAAATGGAAACGTTGCCTGGTGTTAGCCTGCACTCTCAAAAATAAAAGTGCCAAAAAGGGTTCTTTTGGAGCCATGGCACTTTTATGTGTAAGACTGTGCTGAGTGAAATTCCTGGATCCATTCTTAGCTGCTTACATGGCCATCGCTTACAGGCTGCATGAATTTGCCTGTTCTGGTGAAAATAATTCTGATAAACTTTAGATTAATGCTAGCCCTGAAGGGCAGCATCCATAAGGCTACTTGACCTTCATAAGCCTTTCATGACAACTATATACAAATATAGACTTAGACTTATAGGCATATTCCAACAAGTGTCACTTGTCATAACACTTGCTGAGAAGAAATGACATTAAAATACATGTGATATCATGTCATGTAGTCTTATGAATGGTACCCTGCAGTAAAGTGTTACCCGTTTAATGGACCAAAACACTATAATCTACTATAACATGACAGCTCAGCAGCTTAGTGAAATGTCCTGACCATATTTAGTCAGCTTTAAGGTTATATTCTGGATGGATTTGCCTCTTCAGGTGAAAATAATTCCTAAAAACTCTATTAGACTTTAGCGCAATGCACTAAAACACCATCATCTATTGTAACACTACTATTCGCCAGCTTAGGAAATGCCTGGACTATATTTAGCCATCTTTAGGACTGTATTCTGGGTGGTGATGCCTATACAGGTGAAAATAATCCAGACAAACTTTAGTTTATGATAATACTGAAGGGCAGCATTCATAAAAGTACACAACACTTTCTTAAGCCATTCATTACAACTACAAATCAATATAGACTTAGGCTCGTAGGCTTATTCCAACAAGTGTCAGTTGTCAGTTGTCAAATCACTATTATCTGCTGTAACATGACTGTTCAACTGCTTATGAAATGTCTAAACCATATTTAGCCACGTAGGTGTGCTCGTTTCTGACAAAATAATTCCTAACTAGTCTCTTAAACTTTACTGTAGTGCACTAAAATTTTTTGCACTATTCTGTAACATGACTATCATCTCATTTACTGACCCTAAAACTATGAAGTTGACAGCACATATGTCAACCATATTTTCAAAGTAAAGCCTTGAGAAAGTGCTAGACTTATTTTTCATGCATCATTGCTTTGATATTTTCAGGGTTAGGCTAAATGAATTTGTGCAATGCTAAGACAAACAAATAAAACAAAAAGATTTGGTCATTGTTATAACAAAACATTGTTTCTCCAAAATAGTAGCTTTAGAGAAGAAGGAATAAAACATAAACAAAGTACAAGGTTCTGAAATGACCTGCATTCTCACTCTGAGATGCTTCATAAATGTGAACTCTGGAGCATAAGCATAGCAAGTAAGACTTGGATAGCCCAGCGGTCAAACAATTTGGTTGTGAATCGAGAAGTCATGCGTATAATACTAGCTGATAAAATACTGCTACTGCCATTGTGTCCTTAAGCCAGGCACTTAACCCCAAGTTTCTCCAGAGGGACTGTCCATGTAATTGCCATTTGCTGTGGATATGAGCGTCTATTTAATTAATAAATACATAGCGTGCAGTGGCCCTCCAGAACCAAGAGTGAAGAACACTGGTATAAAAATGAAAAAATCAAGGGAAACTGAACTGAGAGCTGAACTGACCTATCCATGCTCCCCCTAAAAATGTAAGCTAGCATAGCAAATGAGGCTTAAGAATGTTGTCAAAACTATGTTCATTCTAATTGTAAAATCAAAAGGCATTCTATGAGAAAACTTGCTTTGCGTTGTCTCAAAATCAACACTAATGGGAAATGGTATAATCACCTTCGGCATTGTGCCTATGACCACAGCACACCAGTGCCATTATCTTATAGTAAAGCAGTCCCTCTGTATTAGCGCACTTTATTTATATTCACTTTGTAATATTGAATTTCTAGTTTCGAAAGGCTACGTTAACACACTGAATTATGTTATCATTGCTGTTTGAAATTAGGCAGGTTGGAAACAACACAATAAATTTGCCACTATGCTAACTGTTGATTAGCTTGATTATTGCTGTCATTGTCCAACCTGGTAACAGTCGCTATGAAAGAATATACTTATGAGCAGAGCACGGATAAGTCAGCTGTTCACGCAGATTTACTTACCCTGCACCTCCTTCTCGTTTCTGAACCATCGAATGTCGGCAGCTGGTTTGCTCCCAGATGTTATGCATGTGAGCGTGACATCCTCTCCCTCCACAGCGGGTCTTGAGAAGCCGATAATTTCTGGTTTCTCTGGTACTCCTGAAAAAATGAATAAATAAATAAATAAGCTCACATATTCTTTCTTTTCTGGCAATACCTCTAAAAGACAGAGCACTGCATAGTCAATTTATTGTGGATCCCCAGATAGAAAGCACTGTACGAAGGCACTGGCACTGAATTATACTTCATCTACTTATGCTAATAATAGCACAGCATTAAAAACGCAGCCTTCACAACCCAAATGGGGGCTCCATCAACCATCATGAAATACACTCCTTCATTTACATCTGGCCCTGCGCTGCCAAAGTGAGGCTTCCATCAGCTGCCCTTAGCTCCATCAGGGCTGGGTTGACCTTACTGCAGCAGATTAATGAGAAAGAGTGTGATCTATGAGAACATTTACCCAGTACTGTGAGAAAGGCCTTGGAGGTCTTGACGGGCATGGTGAAGAGAGAACATGTATACTGTCCCTCATCTGACAGAGTCACCTCGCTGATGCTGATGGTCAGCTCCTTCCAGGAGGCTCGAACCAGCTCGATCCGGTTATCCCTCAATGCTACAACAGACAAACAAACAAACAATAATGAATCATATTGAAAGGGGGCAATGAACGGGCTAGCCACTCTATAAAAACATCCACTGAATTTGTGAACATAAATATGCCATTGAACTGTTCATGCTCTGGAATGCAAAGCCCGTTGCTAGTTTGGAAAAGCTATAGATAATGTTGGCAAAACTCCCATTCAACTGAGCAAGAAATAGTAGTGTCCTAAAGTTAGAGAGCAAATTTAATCACAACAAAATGTAATATGTTGTCAATTTCAAATGATATATATTTTATAGATATGATGTATATTTTATAGATATATTTTGTATGACTGTTGAAGGATTATAATAATTAATCACAATTTATCATGTACTTTTTCTATTTAAAGAGTAGTGCATTTTGTTATGTTTATATAGATTGACACAATAAGCTTTATCAGAATGTACTTATTACTTTCAATTATTAAATGACATTATTTTCATTGTGTGAACGCCAGATTGACATGAACCTGAACATGAAATACATGTAATTTCCATAGAGTGAACATAGCTTCTGTTTTTCACCTCCGACATCCAGTGAGAGCAGTAGTTGCTGCATGTTTTAACCAATGAGTGAATATATCATATGTACAGTCAAGGGTTCCAAGTCCTCTGCGATAGTAGCCTCTCACTCTCATTCATACAGCTTGTGGATTCTTATTACAGTGGAGGCTCTTGAAGGGAACTGGAGCTTTCTACTGTGCTGTTGCTCTTCTTAGTTTGCTGCTTATTGACTTATCAATAGGTCTCATGCAAGCACTGTCCTGTGTAGTCTTTCAAGAGTGCCAAGAGTATTGCTGTAAAAGCCACTGAAAAGCAGTATTCGAATGAGAGGAGTGATTAGAGTGGAATTAGAGTCCATCACAACAACAGAGCATGAGCAGAGATGCTATAAAGGAAGAGACAGGTCACTAGAAAGTCCCACGCTTCAGTAAAAAGAGCCAATCAGCTTGCTGGTTATGTCATAAGTAGAGAAATGTTGATGATATTGTGTCACTAGTGGGGAAAGCTCATCCTCATTGTGGAGATCTGTGCAAGCACAGTAACCAGAACAACCCAAAAAACATGTTCTTGCGCATTACTGAGCCAAACGCTATACAAACTAACCATGAGGTTTTTCTCAGATTTTATCAGTGATTTCAAATATATTCTTAAAATGGTAATCTGACCTTCAGTTTTGAGTATTTAGGTCTCTCCCCATTCAAGAAGATAGGAGTCTAGTCATGTATGGCTAGAAATAAGTGCCTGGAGACATTGCAAACATAGCCGATGAGTGAACAGACATTCCTATAAGGATTTTGGCACAAGCTGCTGAGCTTCAAGCCTGGACAACTACTTATGGTTCAAAGGGTCAAACTAGAAAAACATGTTAATTCATTTACCATCATTGCTGCAGGAAATGCTGAGGAAGGCTGTATAAAATGCTGAAATACCAAAAGGAAGTGATGCTAGAGCGTTTTTCCTTTATATCAATCATTGATAATGCAGCCAAATGCAATAGGTTTTAAAACACAGGTTCGCAGTAGGTCGCAAAAGGTTAACACTGAGTTGAAAAAGATATGATTCTGATTATTAATCATTCCAATTACAGAATGAATTACAGGATGAGTGCACAATGTAATTTCTTTTTTATTTGGAAGTTGGAACTGCAAAGTGATTTTGTAATCTGTTGATAAATATACAGCAGCATTAAAACTGCTTCATGGCAGCTTAACATCAAAGCAGCAAAGCTTAAAGGATATCAAGCCATTCAGCCAATATATAATAGTGGATGCTCTCAAGGGTCCTCTGTGGCTATGAAGCCCTACTGAACCTGGATATCTCACTGGTATTAAAATGCATTATCACCTGCTTGTTCACTCAAGACAAAAGACAACACGGTCTTTATTCAATAACCCGTAATTTCTTGTAACTTAATTTCAAGCTTCCACTCAACTTCAGCAGCGACTCATTGAGACATCATCCCATGAAACATATTGAATTTCCCAGCGCAGCTTTGTTTAAGTGAGACCACGCTGACATTCAGTCTTTGATGTCCGCAGATGCTCCAGAGCTGAGGATATCTGTGCAGAGATGTTCATTTCTGCCTGTACGAACGGCAGCATATCAACTGAACAAGAGAAAAAAGTTATCTGTCATAAGCTTTAAATGAGCATTACTGTTAAGCAATGGTGTCAAAACAACAGAGCTTCATACGAGATAGCAACTTTCTGAAAGATGGATCAAACCTGTTTGGAGACTGCCTAAGAATAGGAGGGGTTTACGTGAAATGGTAAACACCAGGGGGGGCTTTGGCAGGCACAAAGCTGCCTAGGCGGATAAAGGCAAGAAGCAAGGTGATCGGGTCTGAGCTTACACTGCACACGAGCCTGAAGATAGAGCTGCAGTGAAGCCCACAGAGACACACACCATCAAAGCCTTGGACCAGATGACACACTTCCACTGCCCCACATCCTTCTATCTCCCTCAGACACAGAGAGACGAGGAGGCGGATGAGAGCGCGCCGTCCCTTGTTGTTTCCAGAAATCTCACTCACACACATACACACATGTATGCATAAGGAACATCACAAAGTTGGTGATAAGCCTAGTCGAGCCAGCAGAGGCCCAAGTCGCTGTTTGTGCTGCCAGCGAGAGACGTTGGCTAAATTTGGAATAGAGTGGAAAACTTGCCACTTTTCATTCAAACAGCACAATGATAGCATGCTGGACTTGAGGCCTTTGCAAGACATAAATAAATCAAGGCACATGATGGAAACATGCTAACCCACAGATGCAGTAAGTATGTATCAGTAAAGTGGGATTCTTGTGGTACATCGTGTTTTGACACAATGGGGGAGATTCTGATGTGTTGCAGGAATTCATGTGGTGCAGGAATTACCGTTAATCATTCTGTAATGATCTAAATATGTGATGCTGAGTACAGCATGAGCAGACAATTTGTTTTCTTTTTTTATCTGGATAATCTGATAAATACACAGGAACAGTAAAATTTTTTTTTGGCATCTTTGCATCATGATAGCTAAGCTTAAACCTGTTTACTCTCCCATTATTGTAAAGGCAGAGGTTTTATTGTGTATGTAATAGCAAATGTTTTCAAGGGTCCTCTGTGGCTAGTGACACACTAAAATGTCAGCTAGAACCTGTCACCTCACTCGTATTCAAACACATTATTGCATGCTTGTTCAGTCAAGACTAAAGATGAGATGCTGTTAATTCAATGATCTAAAATTTCTTATTACAACTTCAGTACAAGCAAAGTACATGATAAAAACATTTTTAGCCCACATAACAGAAATGGTCATGGTAAAGCAGTCAAATAAAAGGTTTTGGGTCAACTGGAGAGGCAAATACCACTTACTGTCAGAGCTTCCAGTAGTAAATATCAGAGGGTAACCCTCAGGGCTGTCTAGGCCTTCAGAGAAGGCATAATGATTTTAGGGAACTAAAATATACATGGTTGTAATTTGAAGTTTATTTTTGTTCAACAGAATCATGCTTGTATTTAAGCTCTGCAAGTATTACAATACTGCTCTTATTTCATTGTTAAGCTTTGGATGGAAACAAAAGAAGGAAAATTTCTTAAATGCCCAGCGGGAAATTGGTCAATAAGGAATTGATTTTCTCTGATTAACGTTAATACAACTAAAAAAGCTCTTCTATTGGTCAGGACTTCAAGAGTGATAGATTAACTATCCGCATAATTAAGAAGTGACAGTGGAATCAACTCTAGTCAACTCTAGTCAACTCTATCAATTCTAGATACATCTCTGACTGTGAACGCAAGCAGCAGCCTAATCAGTGGGTTGTTAGGAATGGAAGACAGCGGTGGCAGCTCTGCACAAGGCCTCTCTACTGAAAGAGTCACTGTAAAACTGCTACATGTTAAAGTATAGGCTAATATGTCTCTCACAACCTTACAACAAAATGGACTGCCTTTTAAAATTATCTAGAACTGTCAAAAAATGTTCAGGTTTTTTTAGGGACACTAGCAGAAGGTAAACATTATCCTACAGATGTTTTTTTTCTCATGTTTTGACTGAGATTTGACCTGAATTTAAAGCCAAGCTCTAATAGTCATGGCTCACCTCTGCTAAATATACATCAGTAAATGCCAGTTAAAGTGGAATTCTTGTGGTATATCTTGTTTTGACACAATGGGGTTAAGCTCACAACATTACCGTAAATCCATCAACGGACTAAAATGCACAAAGGGTTGAATAACCCTAAAGACAACTGTTATCAATTCAACACAGGCCAACAGGAGCTGGCAAAAAAACCCTCTACATTCGCCTCCAGTAAAAGGATCAAAATCCAGCCAGATGCCCAGACTTAGCCGCGATCTGTCACAATCTCAGTGAAATGCCAGTGCTCGACAAAGCTATTTTTTCAGGAGCTTAAAGAAGTCAACATGATGAAATGGTTGGTATCTGACTTCCTTTGGATTTCCTCTGTGCATTTATACCACTTAGAGAAGAGCATAAATCCACGCAGTTTGACCTTGTAGGCTCTACCGCTCGCTCTCTGTCTGCCGATGAAGGCCCCAGCAATCTCATATCAGCATCTTAGACATCCAAGCACTCCCTTAGGGCCTGGGCAGCCAGACAGCTACCTAAAACTGAAGATCATAGATGCAAACATATATACTCTTCGACAAGTAGCCATAATGTTATTCTTGAGGAATACAGCACTGTGCAAAAATCAGATACTATCCTTCATTTATCTCATTTCCAGTCAAAACAGCCCTTAAGAACAAGTGATTCATATTTCAGATTTCTCATTTGAGATATTTTTGAGTGGATTAGATAAAAGATAATCCACTTCCTTAACAAGAAGGGACTTCAAAGGAAACAAAGCAAAAAAAGCAGGACTTTTCAAAACTGGAGTTCAGAAAATTATTAAAAGATAAATAGGACAACTGTGCAAGACCTGGTAGACCACCAAAACTGTCACCATCAGATAAACAGTGCTT